CGGTGTGCGCCTCAAGCAAGGTCAAATTGCAGCCCTATGACCAGGCGCTTGGATGTTTGTGTGCCCGAACCACTTTTGCGACAGAAATGCATCCGCGTTTAGCAGGGCTGAGCGTGTCATGGCGGCCTGGAGGGATCCGCGAAACCAAGGAGCCAGCGCTAGCACATAGTTGCTTTCAACGTCCCAGTCAACGTGAACACGTTTTTCATGACTGCCTTCGACAAACCAGTCTCGCCGCAGTATTGCGAGCTCACCGAAGCTAGCTACCATGGTGACACTCCAAATAGCATCTGACAGATAGCGGTGTGATGCAGCGCCTCTGAGCAGGCTGTGAGTGTAAACAATGATGCGTCATATGATCGGTAAAGCCTTTGAGGAGACACGTCGCCGGCGGTCCTTCGGTTAGTGGGTCGTTACCAGCGCGAAATGCCAGCAAATACCATCAGCATCGCTAAGAAACAATCAAACAGAACCCTTGTCGGCAGTAAGATGACGAAGATAGATGTCGATGCGGCTGCAGCCATTGTGGCTGACTGATGCAATAAGCCCCACGTTATGTGCGACGGCGCTGCCCAATAAGCGACAAGCGCCATGCATGCAGAGCTTTCGAAAAGGAAATAGCATGCTCTTCTGATCAATCGGGCTCGTTCCAGGCAGCTGCATTGCGGAAATATTTGCAGAGCTATCGAAGGCTTCCATGCGCCTTGTAGCCTCTTGCATTGAGGGACTATCTAGGCGACACCGTAGGATTAAGGTTTGTAGGCCGTCGCACAGCGAACGGCGGTATGCAAGACCGGGTAGACGACCCGGAACAGCGTTGTACGGGACAAGACAACAAATTTGTGATTGAACGTACGGGGGCATAGGCGCCTGAGGAAGTAAAAACTGGAAATGTGGATCGAGTTGAGCTTGATACCATGCAGCCGCGTCAACCATGCGACATGTGGAATTCATCGCATCCTTCGTATAAAATGATGAGATTGTGATACGCGTATAGTGACACGCTCAGGGCCGGCGCGTAACGGAAACCCCGGAGGTCTGATGTGATGGCATTTTGAGAATTGCACGTTGAGTGGTTCTGTCCAAGAAGCCGTGCCGACCGGTCGCAAACCTCTCTGCTAGTCCATGAACGGTGAAGGAGCAATGGCCATCGGCACAACGACTCGCGTGACGGTCCTCCTTTCATGCATCGAACGCGGGCGGAATTGCCGAACGGTGTGTTGAAGCTGTGCCGCATGCAACTAATTGATGCCAACGTTATGCGAATCTGCATCGCCTTCTTATCGAGATTGCCGGTGACCTTGGGCCATCATTACGGCTGCGAGCGTGCGGCGGGGCCTTGCACAGCCATTAGCGCCGGGAGTGAAAGCGTTGCGGGGTTTCGCGGAATACTTCCCCGCGAATCTTGTGATACGATCGGCTAAGGAATTATACTCTTGATGAAACCCCGCATGCGAGTCGTTATATCCGAGCGTTTGTAGCCGGCTCATCATGTAGTACAACACCTCATTATCCAGGTACGAAGAGTGGTTACGGAGCATTGGCGGTCAAGACCCAGATGCTTGGGCAAGAACCAAGCAATACGATGATGGAAGACCGATGTTGTATGGTACCGAAGCACTCTGGGCGTAACGTGCTGCCGAATAGTGTAAGCGTATGCGCAGATATGCTCATGACGTTGTGCTGAACATATCCCAGCCTCTCTTCAGTCGGCTTCTCCGATTTGCCAACCGGAGACCTGAACGTATAGCTATTGACGATGTTCGGTTGAATATGCAGAAGACACATCTAGAATTACTCTCGGATGTGCTAGCCTTGAGAGAAAGGCTTCTCGGCACGTTGACGAGTGCGACTCGTGAGGCACTAGAAAGACGGGAAGAGGTATACATCGCCGTACTAGCACCTGGAGGTTATGAATACGCAGTAGCGGTGTTGGCGATACTTGCTCTTGGAGCTGCTGTAGTGCCACTGACTCCAGCCCTACCCGTAGAAGAGGCAGTCTACTTCATCGAAAAGTCAAGATCAGTGCTGGTTCTTGCCAGCTCATCGAATATGAGGAAATGTCGCGACCTGGAAACCCGGCTTGCATCGAGGAGTAATAAGAGCTTCCAAGCCGTAAGCATTCAGCCAACGACTTCATGTCCTACCCTCTATGCTGGAGATGTTATCATCTCTTCCGACCGTACTTTGGATGAGAATGCGCCCGCCGTGGTCATCTTCACCAGCGGAACTACTGGGCCACCCAAGGGTGCAGTCATGCGAAGATCGTTCATCTTTGATTGTGCGCTCGAAGTGGCGGATCATTACCAGCTGACGGAAGATGATGTCGCTCTCCACGTTCTTCCGGTGCATCATGCGACCGGTGTTGGCATCAACTTCTTTCCATCTCTCGTGGCTGGTAGCCGTATCGAGTTTCGCAGCGGAGGTTTTGACGAAGCGAAAATGTGGGAGCGATGGAAACAGGGCGCTTCCGACAACAAACGACGACTGACCGTCTTCTCTGGTGTACCTACTATATACATGCGGATGAGACGGTACTATCAACAACGAATAAGCAAGCTACCCGCAGATGAGATAGCGAAGTACGTCGCGGGCGCAAGACAGTTTCGAGCCTGCTTATGCGGAACATCAGCACTGCCGCAGCCACTCGATGACTTTTGGAAGCATCTAATGCAAAAGCCGATCCTGCAAAGATACGGGGCCACCGAGTTTGGAGCCATCTTCAAGATGCGCCTCGGCGACGAGAGCGTGCCAGAAGGTTCAGTTGGTGAACTCGCCAGCGGCGTTGATGTCAAGCTATCCGAAGGAGACGAGGGAGAGGTGCTCGTGAAAAGCCCAGTAAGTCCTCTATGAGTCGGGTTGATAGGTTGTGCTAACCAACTTTAGCATATGTTCTCAAAGTACCTGCGTGATCCTGAAGGCACTGCAAAAGCTCATGATCGAGATGGATACTTCCGAAGCGGCGACATTGCGCGACGTGAGGGCAAATATTACTTCATCATCGGTCGGGCGTCTCTCGACATCATCAAGTCGGGCGGATACAAGATCTCGGCTCTGGATGTCGAGCGCGAGCTGCTGAGTCTGCCATATGTAGCCGAAGCCATGGTGGTTGGTGTACCCGACGAGGAGTACGGGCAACGCGTCGCTGCACTGGTCTCGCTGCAGAATGAGGTAACGCCTTCCGCGTCCTTGAGAAACAACGACACCTTCCGACATGTCTTGACCATCGACGACTTGCGGCGAGATCTGCGCAAGAGGTTGGCTGGGTACAAGCTACCCACGCTGTTGAGAATCGTGGACAAAGAGCTGCCGAAGACGATAACGGGAAAGGTGCAGAAACAGATTCTTGGACCGCGCTTCTTCCCTGCCAATTATCGTGAGCGTCCCGAGGTACAAACATGGGTTGCGCGATCTTCAGAGAGGGCCCTGGCGAAGTTGTGAGATCGTGGACCCATCGCGCTGCAAGTTCTTTTCGCCGATGTTTTCGATCGCGCTGAATGATCATCGTATGGCTGCGATCGCGCAGATAAAGGATTCGCGTCTGGGTTCCCGCGTGGAAAAGTAATTCCATCGCACCAGCACAGCGACACTTCAATCTTTATATCGTGTCGATTGCTTGGTTGTTATGACGAGCGCATGAAGTGTGATGATGCTTCGTTGGAGCCCGCGGGCTGCATGCGGCGCTAGCGTGCACGTGATGTGAGATCGACAGGGTGGCTCCAGAGGTCGTCCTTTCCAAGATGCATTGTTTCCTCAACCACCATAGTCAACTTCTGTTCCACCTTTCCTTTCATGCTGTAGGCATCAGCGTAGCCACACGAATCAGCCACGCAGAGCGATCAATGGAAAGTCCTGAGCTTGTCAGAAATCGCGAGGTGGCGGCGTGATCGCGCGAACAGTCACATGGCCACATCATGCACACCGTATATTTGTCGGCAGTCTCCTACGTCACCACAGGCTTTGTAGTATTCAGAATCCGTCATCTACGATGGCTCGCTGCTGTCATTATATCAGGGTGTCCATCTCAGAAACGGTCCCTTCATGTCTAGCGGCATGGCTCGCCTTGCAACGACATACACATGGCATCCTACGAAGTGACTAGTCGGTTCTGTACTATAGGTCGCCGCCGGTACTTCAGCGCGTCAGGTCACCGATCATATTCAGTTCTAAGGACAGGCATGCATTCACGCGACGCGGACATCAACCGCCCTTCCACGGCGCAGCGGGTGGTCTTCCCACGGTCTATTTAATCGAAGGCAACTCCATCCTCTGCTTAGTACTACTGCCAAAGCGCTCAAAAGACAGTTTGATCTTTAGCGAAAAACCCAACAGTCTTACAGGAATTCGTAACTACCTCAACGATGGATGCCTTCGACTTTCTTCATTACATCAAACGCGAGTTTGACTGGCATATGCGACAACACAGAGGATTGGAGACATATCGTGCGCCATCTCTTACGAATCCTATTCACCCAATGTTTGCTTTGGATCGCTGGGCCACTGGTCCAGGGCAAGACACCCTAAGACTCTACCGCAGCATGCGACCTGCCTTGCAACTTGCGTCACTATGGCTCACCGAAGACATGCCCCTGCTTTGGTTCAGTCACTTGACCTTTGGACATCGTCGCCATAATCCGGCCGGTCAAGTGTACCTGGAGAGAAATCCTCATTATAAGACCCCAGCAGCCCTTGCTACTGTCAAGGCGAACCTAGTCGAATTTGGAAAAACGAACTTTTTCTTGTTCTACCATCCCAGTGTGAGAAACAACTATTACGGCTGTACATACAGTCACAAAGAACAGTTGCCTTACATTAACGAGTTCAAGTCCGCTGACTTTCCACCTGCTCTCTCTAGGAAGGGTATTCGAAAGCCTTGCATCGCCCTTACAAGGGGCTTCGTCAACGCCCTTCAATCGACTGGTGTAAGTGAAAACGAACGATACAGAACCCTTTTCATGCTCGCCACTGTTCTGTGCCATGAAGTTGCGCATGGGTACCACATGTTCCATCATATCAGTCCTGAGCCACTGTGGGCTGCAGATGAGAAAATTCCAGAACTAGGCTTCTCGTGGGAACTGAACGTGGTTGGTCATTTACCGATGCCTACCGGTAAGGGTGGGTTAGACGGCCAATTCCACGAACTACACGCGATCCGCATGCTGGAAGTTCCATCAAGCGATGATGAACGTCTTAAGGTTCTCCGCTATCTCAAGGGTAACTCACGTGCAGAATTCACGACACGAGATGCTTCCGGACACCATCGCAAATGGCCTGTTCTAAACGGCGGAAAGTTTCGTGGTGCGAAATGGACACTGAGCAGCGACGCGCAATACTTCATCGCCTCCTTTCACGACGTTCCCATGCATTGGGTAATCTCTTGGTTCCAGCAAGATGTCTGGGAAACGCTTAAGGCGCGATGGGTGCAAGCAAACAGATTTGAACCTCCTGCTCTCGGCCAAGCCTTCATGATCATCTACGAGAGAAATCCGTACGGAGTGCAGGTTCATCGACCTCTTTACCCTAATAATCGTGTAGACGCCAAAATTCTCGAGGAACATCGCGAATTAGCCCAGAAATAGGCTCTTGCGCGGATAGGAAGTGAAGATAGGTTGCAATGCAGCTGTAGCGTTCTCAAAATATATGGATAGTTATTACCTTGTCATCAATTTGTTGGCGCGGAACTGCGGTGATTCATCAGGCGCTCCAGCGAGACACCCAGAAGCCAGTCATGAGTCCGAGCTGAATATGCTCAGCCATCTTTGTGATCGCCCATGGAAAGCCTGAAGTTCCCCTAGGGCTTCTTCTTATGGGATCCTTGCGGAGGTCATGCCGCAAAGACCCTCTATACACGCTTTGATGAAAGAGTCTTAGTGCCTACTACAGCATATAGACTTGATAGGTTTGTTCAAGAAATGTCGGCAACCGGATAATAGAAAGCCTGACAGGAGCCGTTATGTAACAAAGTGTTCCGTCTTCGTCGGCGTCGCGGCGGACATCGGCGAACGAAGCTCGGGTTTAGCGATGCGCGAATGCAAATTCCGGCCCCGGCTATCGTCGTCATCGTCCTCCCACGACAACACCGGGAATCAAGTCAATGCAGTGTAACGCCCTGGTGTCATGATTGGCTCTCTCGACAGAACCGGCTAGAATGCCGGGCTATCTTCTCTGTCTTCATGCACGGAAACGGCTGAGATGATGGAGCCGACCCCACCTGGAGCTTGAACGACTTAAGGCCCTTCCACCCCGCCAAATTTCGCAGACGGCATCAAACGTCACTCCAAACCCCCTCTACATCCATCAATTCCTCTTTCAAACCTCCAATATGGCCTGCGACAACTGCAAAACCGGCTTCAAGTGGGGCGCCGAGTCTGTCGGCAAGGAAACCAAGCTCGACAACATCGACTGCTATGTTACCGGCGACAACAAGGATGCCGCTATCCTTATCATCACCGATGTCTTCGGCTGGACTCTTCCCAACATCCGCATTCTGGCAGACCACTACGCAAAGGAAGCCAATGCGACCGTCTACGTTCCCGATGTGTAAGTAGCTACGCGACGCGACGCATACATTCAGCGCAATGCAACCATGGGACTAACAGCCATCATACAGATTCGGCGGCGAAGTCGTAGACCCCGACGCGATGTCCGACCCCGAGAAGGCAAAGAAATTCGACGTCATGGCCTTCATCGGCCGCAACAACAAGGAGATCCGCTACCCCGAGATCAAGCAGCACGCCCAGACCCTCAAGTCGCAATACAAGAAGGTCGCCGCTATTGGCTTCTGCTACGGCGGATGGGCTGTCTTCAAGCTCGGCGCTGACCCCTCGCTCGTCGACGCTATCTCGACCGCCCACCCCTCCATGCTCGAGAAGTCGGAGATCGAGAACGTCAAGGTTCCCGTCCAGGTCCTTTCTCCCGAGAACGACCAGATGTACACTGAGGAGCTGAAGAAGGCTACGTTGGAGACACTGCCCAAGACTGGTGTCCAGTGGGAGTACATTTACTTCCCTGGTCTGAACCACGGCTTTGCTGCGCGTGGTAACCCCAATGACCAGAAGCAGAAGGATGGTTTGGAGAGGGCGAAGAGGAGTGCGGTGAACTTCTTCAACGAGTTCCTGCACTAGAACACATGTTATGATGGTCATATGATCCCTTAACGAATTTACATGAAATGATACCTCACACACATGATCTTGATCATCGCTACGTTGCCGTGTTGATGGATCATCTCATTTTGATCTCAATATATTCCATTCGAAGTTCGTCAGGAAGCAAAAAGGTGTAATAACTCGGAATGATACCTCAACTCTGGTTTTCCTCTTGCCATCTGGTTGTCACATGCGTAGGAAGCAAGACATCAGGCCACGAATGAGCCGATCAAGAAATTGAAGTGAATATGTGAATGAATTGCTGGTTACTGCTGCTACAATGTGTACGTTTTGTTGACGCCACGCAGAGTCCTCTTTTTAAATATATACATGAAGGTCTTTTCGACTTCTGTCAGGTACGAGACCATGATACCATCGTTTGTCTCAACTTAGGCGCCCTGGACCAAGCGTGCGAGCCTAGACCTGGTCTCCCAGCCCCAAGCGCCAACACTGCGCTTAGCCATAGCAGCAACGCTCTTAGCATAGTTGTTCGTGCCGTGGCTGGGATCAGCGTCCTTGGCCTTGCAAGAAGCGCCATCCGAAGGACCACCAAGAGGTCCCTCAACGGCAGCAAAGTGCTGCTTCTCGCTGGTCGTGCCGACCATGTTCTTCGCAGCCTCAGGAACCCAACCGTTGATGAAGTCACCGTGCGAGCACCATGCAGGTCCGCAAGCCAGCTTGAATGGCGAGGTGGTACCAGACCATCCGTTAGGCATGGCCTTGCGCATGTCGTAGCGGATGGAGAAGCGGAGCTGGGGCATGGACTTCATGCCCTTGGGGCACCAGTTGGGCGTTCCGTTGTCGCGGCTCTTGTAGCCGGTTTCGAGGGTCTCTTCGTTGACACACTGGGGGAAGAAGAGGAGTTGCTGGATGTGGGTCGAGCAGGTCTTGGTGGGGAAGCCGTTGGCATCGAGAGGGATGTCTTCGCTCTCGCAGCCCCATGAGGCCTTTGCGTTGACGTCCATAGCGTCTGGGGTCATGGCGTCGGCTTTGCCGGCAACCATCTGCAAGTCTTGTGGGATGGCGACCTCAGCAGGAGTCTCGCCCAAGTTGTAGTATGCGCTGAAGCGGAAGACGGGAACGGGCTCGTAATTCTTGCCATCCTTGGTATAAAGGAAGGTGGGCACCCAGTAGCTCGACAAGTCGTTGGGGTTCTCGGCGGTGGTGCAACCCTTTTGGAGTTCGGCGCTGGTCTTGGTGCCGGCGACAACGGCGTCGGAGCCGTAGAAAGAGTGTAGGTGGGACTTGTCAAACTCGCCGGGGTAGACAATCGGGTCGATGTTCTTCTCCATGAAAGGGGGAGGAATCTGAATGACTGTGTACGCGTTGGCGAACTGAGCGAGCAGGCCCGCAGCAAAAAGAGTGTAAAGAGACATCCTGTGCCTTAGTAACGAATGTAATAAACGATAGAAGAAGTTGAAAAGATAGTAAAGGTGGTAAGAGAATGAAGCGCGATGAAGAAACAGTAACACGAGGCGCGCTCGTGGTACTTATGCCTGAGGCTCGCGCCTCGTGCCCACCATGCCACAGCCCAGGGCATCCTTCCATCGGCGCGTCCACCCAAGTTTCAAGCCTCCTGGTGTTTTCGCCCAAGCGAGGCATCTTCGCCGTTAGGTCTAGGACTATTGTGGAGGTTAGGGACCGCGGCATGAACGACAGGAGACGTTGCCGAGGCGCTAAGCCGCTCTCGTGCTCTCTCATTGGCGGACCGCCCGTGCCAAAACACTAGTGTCCGCTGTTCCGCGTTTAACAGTTTCGAAACTGCGAAACAAACTGCCTTTGTCCTTGCTTTTCATTTCCTCCGAACAGTAATCGGCTTTCTGGATACGGATGCGTTTTGTGGCGCTATACGCTGGGGCTCTGCGATGTGGCGTGAAGAACATGATTCACTGCGATTAGAACTAGAGGGCGAACTAGTACGATTGCAGTTATGCGTGCGCGTATCTACGACATCCGAGGACTCCAGTACTGAGTGTTGAAGAGCAGACCCGTTATCATTAAGCTAACTTCCAAGGCTGTGCTTTCAAGGTCTTGTGTGCACATAACGCGCGTGGCGCATACAATATGCGGCGTCGTCAATAATTCGATTCAGGTCAACGAAGCTGCGACCCCGCATCTGCATCTCACGCCCTGCCACCGCAACCACCTCTACTGTCATCCGCAATCGCGCAACGTTCCCAGCAACCTCGCACATCCTGATAGGTAATTCGCTGTGGTTCCACAGTATGCACGACGAAAAGCGCCACGATTTGTCCCTCTAGTATCCTGCTCACGCTCACACTTTTCCCACCACCGTATCGGCGCCTTGGCCCAACGGAAGGAGGAGCTTGTTGTGTTTGAATATTGATGGAGATGCTTTGCGAAGAATGCGTACGTGTATTCTCACGCGGCGACCGCAAGCATCATTCGAGCCTTGCCTCTCTTACCAAAGCAGCAACAGCCGGATGCTACATCTGTACTCCCTTGTGGGAATCTGTAAGGCCAGAGACTGGGCACTTGAGGGACGACCTGAAAAGTCACTTCATCATCGGTCAGATTCCAGATACTTATTCTCGAATTTCCCGTTCTCTACCAGAAGAACAAATTGTTAGCTGTTCCTCTTTATCCACGTGGGGAAGAAAGAAAAGTGTTGCCCAAGGTTTTTCGAGAACGCTCGACTCGCGGAGATTTGTCGCAGTACCTACAGCGAACGTCCCAGTAAATGTCGGTACATACGGCAGATGGTCCACAATACCCATGGCAGAATCCTTACAGGCTGCGCAAAAGTGGATGAGTACTTGTCTAGACACCCATGAGCAGTGTCAGAAACACAAACAACCGCGTACATATCCGACACGGCTCCTCGAACTTGGCAGCCACAAAGTGCGTCTAGTACTACCACAGGAAGAGGAACTATCGGGCCCGTATGCTGCTTTGAGTTACTGCTGGGGCCCAAATCCTAGCTTCATCCGGCTAACGGCCGATAACATGCAAGATTTTCGGCTCGGAATACTCCATTCAGATTTACCCATTGCTTTCCAAGAGGCAATTTGCTTCGTAGAAGGGCTCGGAGTTCGCTACCTCTGGATCGATGCTCTCTGTATCATACAGTCTGGCAGGGGGAGTAGTGAAGACTGGCAGTTGGAGTGCAGTCGCATGCAAGAAGTGTACTCGAATTGCATCATCAACATTTCTTTGGTACAGGCTGCGCACCCGAACCAAAGCTGTATGGGAGGTTATAATCGTAAAGCGAATCTGCCTTTCACTACAACTATGGCTATGCGAGGAATGAGTGGGGATTTTGCCGGCACACCTCCTGCCTTCACTGTCATACCAAGCCAGTACTTCCAACATTCGCTTTATCAACAGCCCCTCGGAAGTCGCGCATGGGTCCTACAAGAACGCCTGTTGGCTACTCGCGTCTTGAGCATTGGCCATGGAGAACTTTTCTGGGACTGTGCACGGGTCCCAAACGCAAGCGAATCTCTTCCACGCGGCTTCGAACTTTGTCCTGACCCTGCGAGGGCAGTTCTGAGTGAAGCGCTGGGTCTTCAAATAACTTCCATTCCGCAGGCCTTAGACAGCCGGACTGCAGAGGATACTTGGTCCAAGATCCTTGTGGATTACAGTGCGAGGCAGCTCACATATCCCCAAGCGGACAAGTTGATTGCTATCTCGGCTATCGCAAGCTGCATGCATTACGCATTAAACGACACGTATCTTGCTGGCCATTTCTGGAAAACGCTCCCACAAAGTCTGAACTGGAGAGCAAATCGTACACCTGGACGTTCATTCCGTACTGATGAAAGGCCACCACAAAGGCTGCCCAGGTCCTCTAGCCAGATGTTGGATGGCAGCTGGGTGGTCACGCCAACATGGAGCTGGGCATCGATGAATGGCCGACTGAGAACGCGACCATTTGTTGGAGTGTCTTCGACGGTTATAGCAATCGCAGAAGAGTACAGGCTTTCTCCGCTGGATAAAAACGAGCGAACACCATTTATGGAGAAGATGATACTGCTGACCATTCGAGCCTGGTCTAGACCTATCAAATGGACGCTGGGTGGGCCGATCGGCTATGAAAACACAGAAAGTTTGAAAGAGGAGGGTTTTGAACGTCTCTATGTCACTATGGATGAGCCGAATGAGAAGCCCGAAAACGGAAGCATGTTTCTACTTGCGGCACTTGTCCATGCAGACAATATAGTGGTGGGCTTGTTGCTGAGAGAGATAAACATGTACGAAGACAGAGTATACGAGAGACTGGGGCAATTCCGGGCACCATTCGACCGCGACATTGGGACGGAATGGCAATCGTTGTTCACTGATGGAGAGCGCTCCATAACTATGTGCTGATGAGCTAAGCCGAACATTGCTATGTCAGCCCGATAATCTCACACACTGGCTATGCGTCATCACAATGTCGCCCCTGACACCTCCTCACTCTCTACAGGCCCGATACTCGTTCGATGAACAGCATTACACTGTACAGAAATCCTGATAGTCGGCCATCGGAAAAGGTTGGGAGCAACAGCGAAGACATCGAGGACTTGATGCGACCGCATCGTATATCAAGACGATGATCGCTACTCGAGTAATGATTCCAAAACAGCAATGGCTCCGTCTCAGTTCAAACACAGTGTGTGGGCATTTTGTGTCAACCTACGGTGCCTCATCACCACTTGGGGTTTGCGGTCAAGATCACATCGACAGCGTTCAATTTCTTCCAATTGCCAACCCTAGATAGGTTCGCCAAATAATCATCCGTTTCATTTTCCAACCTCTACTTATCAGCCGCATCCAACGGCTTATTCTGACCATAGTTCAGCGTCTTCTCCCTCTTCTTCGCATCCGACTCCTTCGGGTCATGCTTCATGTTGTCCTGACTCTCCGTTGTCTCTTCCGTCGCGCCTGCTCGGTCTTGCTCTGGATGGCTGACTGGGTTTTGTACTGATGCGTGGTCGCCATCGTTCTTGTCGGTCTGGCCGACTGAGGCGCTCTTGTTGATGGACTGGCTTTCGGCGCTGCTAGCTTGCGGGTTGGAGACGTTGGATGACTGGCCGGGTGCAGCGCTGCTGGCGTATGTGCGGGTGATGACTGGTGCGAGGACTGGGATGAAGTATGTTAGTGGTTGTTCCTTTTGTATTGGAGGGAGGGTAGTCACCTTCGCTTCGTTGTTGGAGTGAGCGGGTCGCGATGGACGCTGAGCGCGAAAAGCTCTGGAGGAATCTTGATGCCATTTTGTTTCTGGTGAATTTCGAGTAGATTACGGGATTACGAAAGTATCAAGTCGCAGTTTGCAGAGAGTTAAAACGAAATGTCCGCGCATGTTTATCAGACACCCTCCTTGACGTGCCTGTGATGTTGGCGAAACGTCATCATCAAGCCGCAGGGCCGATCTCTGGGGAGTCGGCATCTGCTTCCCGTACGAATCCACTCTTACTCATCTATGATACCTGTGCGAACATGCGACAATGAATGTGAGCGCGCCCATCTCCATCGTAAAGGTTTGCATGCGCCTTAGTGCGTGCGCGATCAAGGCCGCACGATGACGTATACCAAAAGTTGGGTGATAGGGAGAAGAGAGTGTAAGGGCTGTAGCAGTCGAAATCTAGGCGTGCACGTGTGCAGAGCAGAATGTAAGTATTATATAACTAAAGCGCAGTAAATAGTTTAAATAAGTTTAAATAGTATTAGGTGTACTAAAAAGCTAAAGAGTATTATAGTTATAGTTATATAGTAGTAAAAAAGTGTATAGCGTATTTAAAAGCTTAACTTTATAAAAAATAGTATTCTTAAATATTCTTAAAAGAAGAAGAAAGTAGAAAAAAGTATATAGCTTATTCCTACAATACTGCCTAAGAAGGCTAGTAAGTACTGTACATGCTACTGTAAAGTAGATGCTGATAATTATAGGGTGATAGGTATGACTTGGGCAGCATCAACTTGGGCATCTACTCACACATTATAGAACCAGACGTCGCAGCGGATAGAAATTATCGAAGATCAGAAGGTTTGGCTACACCATGGCCAGTTTTCCCTGCGCGAAGTCGATCGGCGTTCACTCACGCGCCCGCGGGCCGATGCACAGGGTCACGTGATATCCCACTCCCGCCCATCGGACTTTCCGACCCTGCCAAACGCCTTCATTCGCAACCAACCAACCCACTACACAACTTCCAACGACTTTTAGGACTACCAGCTGAACCAGGGTTGCCTGTCATGAGTGTCTTCGACGTACATTGTTGTCATCTCGGCAGCACGCGATGTTATAGGGCGCGGGGTTGAAGCACATCTGGGCACCGAATGTTACAATTACTAGCACTTTCAAGTCTATCTTACAACACTGCCTCCCCCAGACTCTATCAGATCCCTACAAGTAATCCGCATCAACCCAATTCTCCTTCTCAAAGTTCATCCCGAACACATCCGACGCCTTGATCCGCGCATCCCGCTGCGATGAAAAGTTCGCTCTTGCCTCCGGGTTTGCGCCAGGTCCATAGTTCATGTACTCCTGGTAAACAATATTGTCCACACTCTGTACATCATCCCACCTCGCCCATCCCGCTGGCTTCACCACATCGCTCAGATAGCTATCCTGGAAAACAACCCTCGAGTACGGTCTCCACGGCCTGCCAAGGAAGGTCGAGTTCGTGCCGTTGGTTCCGGAAACGTTGACCTGGTTGAAGACGTAGATGCTCGTGTTGTTGTCAGCTTCGCGACCGTTGGCGGTGACCCAACCAGGACCAATTGACTCGATATCGATCTTGTCGAACCACGCGATGGCGCGTAGACCGAAGATGAAGTCTACCGCGCCATTGACGAAAGACTTCGCGTAGATCTGGCGCCCGATGTTCGCGTAGATGGTGTCTTGGTAGCCGGTGAACTTGCAGCCGTAGAATCCTTGGTTCGTCTTCTGCGCGCTTAGTGCGAGGGCTTGGCCGTTCTTCTCCGCGGCGCCGAAGGTGTTGGCGACATTCAGATTGTAAATGCGGATGTTTGTTGTGTTCAAGCGGAGGGTGGCTGTTGCGTCGTTGTTGGCAAGTCCAGGTGTTTGGCGCGAGAGATTGTATGTCAAGGTGACTTCGTTGTCCTTGTAGCCGCGAGCGTCCTTCGTGGAACCTTGTATGGTGATAGGGCCAGCATGAGGAGGAATGTAGACTTGTTCGTTGTATATTCCAGCGACGACGAAGATCTTCTGGGCATCGGTCTTGTTATGCAGTGCGTCTACTGCGGCACTGATGCTGGGGTAGCTGCCGTTGGTTGCGCCGGAAGCATCGACGACTAACGCGCCTCGGTCGGGCTTTGTTCTTGTGTACTTGTCGGCAGACACCACGGAAAGGGCACTTGCAAATGCAAGGAACTGTATCAGACGAGACACCATGTTGATCGGCAGAGAACGAGTGACCTGGTATTCGGTACCCGTTCATCGGAACGGCCGGGTACTTATACTAGATTGACGAAATGCACCCCTTTACGCGATTACTACAGTCTGTAATTATTCCGTCGCGCTTACCTCTACGGGCCGACTATCGAACATGCGCGCTGTTTGCCATTGCCATCGTGACTTTGCGGGGAAGTGTGGAGGAAGCATTGTTGGTGTTGCATCGTGTGATTGGTGGCAGAAATCCTTCCGTGGACAACTTTACCCCAGATTGTTTAACCATCGGCAACGGAATCTGGGGAAGCAATGTTGCAGTAGATCTGATCTTGGTGTTTTGTCAAGCGGACGGATGCGAACGGGAGCGATCTCGGATTGCTTGGGTTTGAGGTACATACAAAGTAAGCCCGATTGATTACTTTGGTAGTCGCGCCGCGCGGCGACTGCCAACGTCCTTCTTGGCTTGACCTTTTTGAACGCGCATTCTTCCACTTCAATGCTCTCATGCATGCGACTATTTCCCTCTTCTTGTAGGCATGAGTCTGAGATTTTACACAATTCTGATCGCGTACCTAGGTACGGGCAGCAATAACGAACGAGCCTTGGAGTGGACGCGACGACAACCGAAGTACCACCGCGCCTTCCTCGATATACGAAACACACCCTAGCACGTTTGCCGCTACTCTCTAGATATTGTGATGGCATTATGCAGTTGTTCAAGAGCAAGGGATGAGGTCCAGTTCTGCCTGCGATGAGCTGCGATGGCCAAGCCGAGGAGACGGTGAGGGCGTTTGTAGTAAGTTTTGCCCCGAGCCCTGAGGCTATCTTCTTAAGCACCTCATGATGACTGGGTATGAACACGCCATTAGGCTAGACTATAGGTTCTCGGATCAAATGGTACACCGCATGAAGTATCTACCGCCTGGTCGCGATGATCAATAGGTCAAAAGCCGTCGCGAGCCGGACTCAGGCGATGAACCAGTCGCATTGTAGTAGTACACCGATTCGATAGGAGCTCGCATTCTACGTCAGGGCATAATAGAGTTCATGGAGAATAACTCTGCTCATAACAATATGAACGCGTTGTTCACCCCAAGATCAGACCACTATGAGCGCGCCCGTACCCCGCGTACGCAACTCGCGTTCACCGTCACATTCAACCCACCGTTTGCGCAATGACGCACCCTCCAAACAAACGAACTGAGACACGCGCCGCGACCACAACAAAGAGACGTCTCCCTTCTCTCTCAGACTCGTAGCCAGCTGCAACCTCACCGTACCTCTACACACGCATTGCATATCTCTGCAATACAGCCACTGACAAACACCAGCGCGAAAAGCACATCACACTACACACCCTCTACAAACCCCCGCGCCTCAAAACAAAATGGCCCAAAACGACTCAAAGCACCTCCTCCCCATGACCTCCATCCTCTTCGCCGACACCAATTCCTCTTCACGGCCAAACACATCCCACCACCTCGCGAACCCCACACTCGCCAACCTCAAAGACGCGCAAGACACCAGCATCACCGCGCTGCCCCAGCCTGTCACCGAAGCCGAGGTCATCGAGTCAGATGGTTTCTGGAAGAGATTGTGGGCTAAGATCAAGAATGCGCTTGGTTTCGGTGAAAGGGAAGTTGAGTATGAGGAGGAGAGGGAGATGTGCATTGGTGAGCCTTTTGGCTTCGTGCATATTGGGACTGGGGGGAATAGGCCGTTGTTGGGGCCGGGTGGGGTGCCGAGGGTTGGGGGTGGGGAGGAGGAGTGGGAGGATGTGGAGTGAGGGCGGGAGATGTTCGGGGTGGTTTGGGTGTGAGTTTGGATGATCGTGAGGGGGCGTGGAGACCGACGGAGGTGTGAGAAGTGGTGGATGTGAAGATGAACTTGGTGGTTGAAGACTACATGGGTATGATACTGGACAGAAGCAAGGGGGAATCAACCTCGAAACGACTAAGAATATACAAAATTCTCCATCTCACTTGCCCTGGCTCTCGACGCTGACATTCCAATTATTGGGTGCCCGCCACCAGCGTCCTAGCAGACTGCCTTCACTCTTGCCACTGCTACCAGTGATCATTCGATTCGCATCTGGCCTCTCAATCTTGACATCCTGCGTCTTGACAATCTGCAGCTTGACATCCTCGCTGCCATTGGTGCCAGCCTCAGGGTCATATGTAGCACGATCGCTGCTCCCAGTCCGGTATGCTTTGCCCTTTGAGCCCGAGCCCTCGTCGCTGATGATGCGTTCGAACTTGCTTTGCAGGCTGGGGTAGTAGCGGATAAGAACGGCTTTGATGCTGGGTGCGCAAGCGACGATGACAGCGAGATGGTTCTCCACAACGGCGCAAATCATAGACGCGGCGTATTGGAAGGGGAAGTCCCCCATGACGGCGAGTCGGTGGACAAAGTAGACGCGAGTTGCGCTTGCAGCGAGCACAAGTCCGCCCAAGGCGAAGAGGAAGTTAACGGCGATGCGGTGGTGGCGTCTGAGCTTAACATTCCAGGTGAAGATGACGGGGAGGATATAGAGGACGGCATCGCAGGCTACCATGAAGACCGAGTTGAAGTAGGAGAAATCGCTCAGGTTGATGCAGTAGCCCTCGATGGTTGGGTCCCACCATTTTGCCACGGGGACACATTGGAAGATGCTGGTTACGACGCAGGTGAGACCGAAGGAGAAAGCGACGATATGCATGATGAAGATGCAGCGGCGGGCCCACGGCTCGAAGGTGAGCTCGGTGTAGAAAATCAGTAGCGAGTGCTTAACGGCCCAGTTGACGGAGAAGTAGAAGATGAGGGCGGCCATGACCATCTGGGGTGTTGAGTCAGTAAGTGGAAGATAGTGATCGTGGGTTGGGTTTGATGTACCTTGAGGAGCATCTCCATGTTGGCCGGGTCGATGTCTGCCTCGTGCAGACCAGCTCCCAGACGTGTCGCATACATCTGAATGCATGATAAGACGATGGCGCAAGTCCCGGCAAAGACAGCAAGAGCTTCATGTCAGTTAGTATGATGACTCGTGTGGGAATAAGTGGACTGAGCTCACCATCATGCCAGCCAAAGCTGCTCATTATCTTGATCTTCCTCCCAACACGACAGCTGATAGCCAGTGAAGTCAACACAATCAGTGTCAAGTTGACAGCAACGGTGGGGGCGCGTAGGTCAGACATGATTGGAACAGTCAATCGAGTCACCGAGTTGAGTGGAGTTGCGATGTTTGCAGGGGTGAGAAAGGATTCGTGTGCCTTGCATGCCCTCTACATATATACCAGGTGTTTATCTTTCACAAGACGCACGGCTTATACTTTGTTTGTCGTGATATGCGCAACACCAAGATGATGAACGGCCGACGGGGTCTAACGTTAGCTGCCCCGCGCTGACGGCGCGCAATCATCCATGTCAGTACAGTGATTGTGGACTGCCGTTTCTGTCGGCTTGCAGTGAAAACCGTCAAGGGAGCGACGCGGCACTCGGGGTAGCGCCCAGTGCTCCTAGACTAGTAGGAATAATGAAAATGATGGTGTAGCACTATTGGACGGAGTTACTCTTCTTAGCCTAAACGAGTGTCGGGTATGGTCCCCAGGTGTAGAGGTTTTGCTTTGTGATGTTTGTTTTCGAGGTTAGGGTTCAAGCTAGGGGCAGCGGGGTCTTGGGATGTCGAAAAAGAAAGCACGACGTCGGTATACAGGTTGTGTCCATGCGAGCCGTAAGCGAAAACAGTAGGTTATCGAAAGTGCTCATAGGTTGAGAAGGCGACCCCGCTTTGCCCTTCGTCTCAACACATCGCATTCCGAAGCTGATGTTTTCGTTTTGTGTTGTTGCTTTTTGCTTTGAGGGTCCTGTTCGTATTGATTTTGGTGGGTATACGACAGAGACTTTGTACGTGGCGTTATCTGCCTGGCGTCTCCATCTGATCAGGATACTGCGGTACCATGTTAATGTTGGTGCTGGCTCGCATCGCATACTGCGCGTTCACATTGTTGAGTTGAGGAGTAACTTTGCAAAGTAGCCACGTCCGGTCATGTTGAGATTGATGTTGATCAGCAGCGGCGATAGATATCCCGATTACTGAGCGATGGCGACTGTAGAAGACAAAAGTAAGACTCCATTACAGAAGGGCCGATGAAAGGGTGGAAGTTGCGATGGTGGGTAGACAGACGGCCAGAGACGGGAAATTGTGAGCCAGCCACATCGTCATAAAAGGCGTGCGCCCCGCTGGGTTCTCGCGACTCGAAACAACGACATCATCTTGTCGTGGAAGAAGCTGAGGATCGATCGTGTGCGCTTGGAGCGCGACTGCACAGGTGTTTACTTCGGCGATGCATCTTGTGATGAAGCTCAATGCGCTTCCAAGATTCCCGAGACTATCCCGACTTCTCGACCTGACAGCTGACTAACACCATCCGACGCTAGGCCACATCTGATTCTCAGTAATCCTGCGCATATGATTGGGCGCCGGAGGCAATTTGCAGCTTACATGCGTATAGTAGTCGTCGCAAACCGTGTAGATTTCACAATCTTTCAAGGAATTGCGCTTAAAATTGTTCTCTTCATTCCGATACCCCCATCTCGTCTCTGCGTCCGTCCGTACTCCGATTTTCTGAAACTCAAGGTGCGATCGCTATAGTCGGAGTGAAACTTGACGCCTCGGCTGTCCGCATTTACTACGAACGCCACCTTTCCCCGACGCCAACGTCAGCGGCATTCCACTTTCTTTGCACAGGCGGGACTTGAACTTTCTGATTCCTTCACCAACCTACGAGATATTGTTGCTTTCTCTCCTCCATGTCGTTCTCCTCGCTCGTCTCAGACATCGCATACCGGAACAATTCGGAGCGGCCAGAGCGACCCGACCTGCGCTCTCAAATATCGGAAGCGCGTTCCACCCGATCCTACGCCAGCACTGCCGCGACGAGCGTGAGCATATCTGGAGATATCAAGAGCCAATTGCATGGAGGATACAGCCACCCTCTGTCGCGAGCATGGCAGGCCGAGCGACA